AGCAAACACCTGGCTAAATAATGTGTGGGGCCCCAAGCAAAAGGAAAACATGAGGCCTTTGGTTCTGAAAGCAGGAAAACACAAAGCTTTTCTCTCCTCTCCCACTCCTCCCCCCCAAGAGTCCACCCCCACACACGCGTAACACATCAGCTGCAGGGGGCCTGGATACCCAGTGCCCAGTCCACAGTAGGGAGGTCAAGTCAGGCACCCCTTTCCCACGGGCGCCTTCCTGAGGTGGAAGGCCGCCCCAAGAGCATCGCACCTGCTCCGGATACACTCAATGGAGGGGACAGAGGTGTTTTACTGGGGCCACGGTGCCCTCTGAACATGCTCTGGCACTGCCAGTCTGGGCCAGGAACCAACCACTATGCCATGGGGTACTCTACTCTCCCCGAGCCCTGGTCCAGGCCCCAGCCAGAGCAGGGGGCGGCAGTGAGGGAAAGAGAGAGAGGCGAGGTGCACCTGGGTACAGAGGGTGGGAAAGGCTGGAATCCACTGTAGGGAGACCAGGAGGCTGCAGGACACCAAACACTACCGGGGCTGAGGCACTGCTGTCCCGTCAAACCTCGCTTCCCAGACACAAAGTTAAAGACAAGCACACTGAGAAGTTGAAAACATCAAGGCCAACTGGGGGCGTTGGTCCAATGACCCCTGCCTGGGAGACAGAAAGGAAAGGGGTAGGCGGGGCAGACAGAAAGGGGGAAAGAGAATGAAGAGAGAGGCAGGAGGCAGAGTCGGGACCTAGCGGAATCACCATCAGAGCGGAGCTCAGACCTTCCTCAAACTAACTCACCAGAGTTTCCAAACGGAAAGCGACGCACAGTTGCAGTTCTGAATTCCATCGCTGCGTGCAAATGGATCCAAGTCCTGCACATAGGGGCAGGACGTAGCTGTGCTTCTACACCGGTAGAAACACAGGCCAAGAGTAGCCTGAGGGCTTCCCTGCCCTACTCCTGGCTCATCATTTCTGAAAAGCCATCCTGTGACCTGTGCCTTCCAATCCCCAAAGTGAGCCTGTATGACGTCAAGGCGTCCCTGAAGATGTGAGCTGAAAGGAGGGCACCGTGTGCACCAGGATGCCCCACAGGAGAAGGGCAGCCCCGCTGGAGGTAAGGGGTAGCGGGGAGTAAAGGGGGTCAGAGGGGAGTGGCCCAGCTGGAGAAGGGCCAGCTACATGGCTAAGCGGCTCAGTCTCTCCCGCTGGCGGCAGGCACACGTAAGGGAATGCAGTCAGATCTGCATTTTGCAAACCCAGCCTCCGTGCATCCCTTTCTGCTTCCCGTCCCTCACTCCTGGCATCCTGGTCTCCATGGTACCCAAATCACGCAGACCCTGAATGGCTCCGAGAGGTTAAAGTACCTGTGCAGGTCTGCATAGTGAACATGGGGCAGAGCCAGAAACAAGGTTCTCTCTGCCTTCCCACAGAGGCCCATGGTACCCGGCACTGGGTCCTCAGCTCTGGGCCAGGCACTTTGGAGGACCTGCCCTGCCCTCCTGCAACTGTGGTCCTCTTCTGGTATCTCAATTCTTTTTTTTTTTTTGTTTTTTTTCCGATACCAGGAATCAAACTCATGACCTTGCGTTTGCCAGGCAGGCGCTGTGCCACTGAGCTAAATCCCCAGCCCCCTTGGTATCTCAATTCTTGAGGCCAAGGAAATGTCCCCACCCAAACCCCTGCCTCCTCTAGATCTCACTCTTGGGCTGAAGTTCCCTGACTCAGATCCCTCTTTCAGGGCCACTTATCACAGGCTGTCCTCCAAGGACAGGGTGTCCACTCCTAGCCAAGGGTGGCATTTTGTGGTAGGCATAGACTGCACTGGGTGTGCAGGTTAAGGGGTCCATAAATCCATGGGTGATGCCCTCAGGGTGTAGAAAGAAGCCAGGGTAGGGGTGGCTGGACTGCCTCCCCAACTGTCACCCTTTTCCAGAGCAGAACCCCAGGGCATCTAAGCATCCCTCTTTTAAGCCTGGCTTTCCAGGTCATTTTGAAGGTGCATTTGTCCAGTGCTTCTGTGTGAATATGATTTGTCATATATCAGAGACCCACCCTCCAAGGTACTTGCACTGAAAGGTGGTGGGAGCTCTAAAAGGTGATCAGGTCATGGGGCCAGCATGCTCAGGAAGGGGTCAATGTCTATCTTTCAAGGTTAGGTCTTCAGGGGTGTGGGTAGTTATCCCAGAGATAGGACTGTAATAAAGCAAGGTTACCCCTTGCATTTTAGCCTCTCTGCCCAAACTCACATCCCACCTCCAAATTCATAAGCCAAAATAAACCTTTTTTCTTTATAAAGTTCCCAACCCTAGGTATTTTGTTACAGCAACCAGAAACAGACAAAGACATCTACATTGGAAAATGGGACCTGCTTATTGAGCAATTTGTTGCCTTGGTGGTATTTGTGGATATTTACCCCTGAGCACATGGTCCTGGACAGGAGTGACTGGTTTATGGAATAAGCATCACTCCTCAGAGAAGAGGCAAAAGGTAACTTTGTCCTTTGCCCCTTGCCCCATGAGCCTGCTGTCCGGACCCCAAGTCCCATTGCAGTTCTGCCTTTCCTTAGGGAACAAGACTACTTCAAGAATTAATGTAAAACTTCATCATTTTTCCACATTAAAACTTCTGCCTCCTCCAGCAGAAGTACAGGGCCCCTTCTCTGTCTCACTTAGGCCCTTTGGAGTTGGGGGTGAAGGTCCCTAAAAAAAATTCTGCAGGAGGGAGGCATTTGCATACTTGAGCGTTTCACAAAAGGGTTGGGCTTGGTGGGAAGAACAGGACAGTTGGGGTGGGGGCTCAGTCCTCAGGGCAGCCTTGCCAGTTAATGTTGGTTTCCCCTCAGCTTCTGTTTTGCATCTGAACAACTCTCTAGCAAACCAGTGGCCCCACTGCAGATTAAGATTCTACAGGAAATGGCCTTCTAAACCATCAAGGGCCTCCCCCCACACACAAACTTCTTTCTTGTACTGGGGATTAAACCCTTGTACTGGAGCTTTGTACTGAGCTACATCCCCAGCCTCTTTTTAAAATTTGAGATAGGGTCTTGCGTAATTGCTAAACTGCCCACACTGGGCTCAAACTTGTGATTCTCCTGCCTCAGCCTCCCAGAGTGCTGGGATAACAGGCATGTGCCACCACACTCAGCTCTAAAACAATCTCTTCTACATTTTGCATAAGTTCCCAAGTTGCAGCCTACCGAGCACAGGCCAAGTTTCCCACTCATGCACCCTCTCCGCCTCCAGCTCCTCTCAGCCCACCTTTTCCCCCTTTTGCACACTTATTAATTACAAAAGTAATGTGTGATATATACGCTCTTATAAAACATGCAGACAAGATTCAGACAGAAGGGAATGCTGCTACAGTCGTCCCTCAGGATCCATGGGGAACCGGCCCCAGAGCCTTCCCCCAAAACCACGATGCTCAGCTCCCTGGTATGAAATGGAAGGGTCTTTGCAGAAAACATACACAATACTCTCATGGACTTCCCATCACCTCTGGATGCCTTAGATACCAAATGCAATGTAAAGTCTATGGAGACAGTTGTTATGCTGTATTGTTTAAGGAACAATGGCAAGAAGTTTGAGCATGTTCACTACAGACACACATTTTTCCCCAAATATTTTCAATCTGAAGTTGATGGAATGCTTGGATGCAAACCCACAGACCGGGGTAGGGGTTAACACTGGTCCTCAGATCTCTCCATATTGTTAACTACTGGAAACAGGGTCCTCAAACCTTTTTTTCTGAGCATTCATCTACTGAGACGCAGAGCCATTTTGCTTAGTTTTCATAGCTGGGATCATGCTACCGGTACTGTTCTGCACTTTGGCAAGCCTAAGGCTGCTTTCAGCAGGAAGTGTGCGGAGGCCGCACTTTTGTAGGTACTGGCTGAATAGTCGAAGTCTCCAGGAAGTATTTCCAAACAAAAGGAGGGAAATCGAATTGCATGCAAACTTTTCCAGGGCGCTGTGATGCTTTTTCAGGGCCCTGCCTTCTCCAGCCACGAAGTGTCCTGTGCTCCCAGCACAAAACATTTCTGTTCCCTCAATATAAGGCCTTGCCAGACTCCATCTTAGTGGGCCTGGGGCTTGGTAAAATACCAAGGGTGTAAAGAGAAGTGGGTCCTGGCTCTTGGCTTCCATAAGCAGAAGAAAGCGGTAGAACGCACCAGATTTGGAGAAGAAAATAGGGATCAGCCTTGAGCTGTCCCTGAACTTCGGGAAACTTCTCTGGGCCTCAATTTCCCCTTAAAGGAAACATAATATTTTAAAGCCTTGACCCCAGGGTGGTTTAAGGATCAAAAGAGGGAATTTACTGCAGGTTGGGTGTCCTTGAGCGGTAGTACAGACGTGAGAGTTGTAGTTATTATTAAATGGAGAAAAGAGAAGCATAAGCACCGTTTTCTGGATTGCTACCGCAGTGGGAATTCAAACGCGGCTCCAGAGACGCAGCCCTGGTCATCCCAGGGCGGCCAGGGCGCCACCTGCCGGCTTCGGAGGAGGCGGCCGGCGGGTCCCGGCACCTGGAGTTGGGTGAGCCCAGCTCCTCCCCAGAACCCGCAGCGAAGCCAAAGGATTGCAGATGGTCCCGCGTCCGCGTGGCCAGGAAATCGCAGCCGAGGCTCCTCTGCGTCCTGGGCCCCAAACACCGGTCCGAATGATCCACTCAATAACGCCGACTGGAGCGGCAGAGGATCCGGACGCGAGATCCGGATCTTGGCCACCCGGGAACTGCTCCGCGACACAAAGCCGCGGGCCTGCAGGTGAGCACGGAGGGGCCAAGTGAGCAGGGGGACGTGGGGAGCTGAGCCTGGAGCCCAGCGAGCCGCGCGCGCCCCCTCCGCGCTCCCCTCCGTGCGCCCCCTCGCGCGCCCCAGCTGCAGGTCGGAGCCACCTCCACCGGAGCCCGCAGCATCGAGGGAGGGCGCATCCAGAGACCCCCGGAGTCCCGGGCCGCGCGGCCCCAGCCCCCCGACCCCCTCGCCTCCGAGTCCCCCGCCACTCACCGGCGGCCCGCGTAGCCGCTGCCCGGGGAGCCGGCGCCGGGCTCGGGGTAGCCGTGCTGCGGGAGGGCCGCGGCCGGGAAGGGATAGAGGAAGCCGGTGGCCAGCGCCGACCCGCAGAGGCAGCAGCATGCCCAAGGCAGGAGCAGAGCCAGCCTCATCTTGTGCGAGGACCCGGCGTCCCGGGCGGGCGCGAGGACGATCCGGAGCGCACCGGCGGCGGGACCGAACCCGCGGCCCCGGCCCGGGGAGGGAGGGAGTGAGCCGGCCAGCGAGCGCGCCGAGCCGGGGTCGGAGCTGGAAGCTTCTGGGGGGGGCGCCCACGCCTCCCCGGGGCCGCCTTTTCAAATTCAGCGAGGTGGGCTCAGCGCCGCCAAAGGGGGCGTGGGGCTTTCTCTTTAACCCTCGGCGGCCCGGGACGGAGGAGGTGCTGCGGCTACAGAGCTGGGGTACGCACCTCGCTGGGGGTCCCGAGAGCCGCGCCCCCCCAGCTCCAGGCCTGCACCCATTGACCCAGTACACATTTTGGAATCTTCCCAACCAAACCCACTTTGGGTCCACAAAATGCCTCGTGGAGCACATTTTCCGTGCCTGGACATTTCACCTGGACAGTGTGGTTGGTTTGTCCTCGTGTGAGATGGTACCACTCCCATTTCTCATAGATGGAAACTGAGGCTCAAAAATGTTAAGCTAGAAAGATACACTATGTGGCTTTTGCTCCTTAGGCAAGTCGGCTAGGCCAAACCACTAGGTGTCTGCGAGCAGCTGGCCAGGACATTCCCGAATCTTCTCTTTCTCTTTGACCCCCCCATCCTCCACCTTGCCTGCTGACTCTTCTAGGTCTGAATCCCCACTTGGTGAAGCATCTGGCTCAGAAACGGGCTCCAGGAAGATGGAATACAATCCCCTTTACAGATGGGAAAGCTGAGCTCCAAACCCCAGGTGGAGCCTAAAGCCAGCCCAGGTTGATCTTTTCCCACAGTGTTTGGACCCTGCAGTAGGACAGGAGGGGCCAGGAACCCAGCCAGTGCTTCCTACCCCAGTTGGAAGCCTTTTTCTGGCTTTCCCTGGAGGCTGGGCTCCCCTGCTATGGGTGGGAGGCCCCCAGTGTGTGCAATGCCTCCAGGACTGGAGAGAAGCCATCCTCCAGAGACCAGCGTGATGGCCAATTGCAGTACCTTCTGCTGATGGATTGTAGGGCTGTTGTTAGGGGAAGACTGGAAGATGCTGTTGAAAATGCACTGGGACAGCCCAGCTCTTGTGATTCACTATCTTGTCCCCATATCTGTGTCACATATGTCCACGTGTCCCCGTATATACACAGTCCAGTGCACCCCCTTGCATGCACATCCCCAGATACCCTATCCAGCTCCCCCTACACTCTCCCCTAAAGTACACATCTTGTCATTCAGTTCTCTTCAATCCCAGTTCAGTTCACTCTTTCCTTCTTTCTTTCTCTGTACCAGGAATCGAACCCAGGGGCTCACACTTGCTGGGCAGACGCTGCACTGCTGAGCTCCATCCCCAACCCTGGCTCAGTTTTTTTTTTTTAATGGGATGCCCCCATGTCCCAGGTCCTGGGTCTCTGTCTTGGAGGCAGAGCCAGACATCTCAGCATGGACAGCCCCTTAATGGGAAATGTGTAACTTGGGCCTCAGATCACTTCCTTCTTACCCTCTATCTCTCTCCCTCGAGGCCTAAAAGATTTGGAGAATTTAGGTTATCGGGGATTTTCAGTGTGCCTCCCCAAGAGGAATCTGAATTGAACTCCTTGGGCACTTGGCTGACACCTAATAAATGCTGAGGTCATTTCTCCCCGAAATCTGTCTTCCACCTTCTCCTCCTTGACTTGCATAATGAGATGTGAGAAGCCAGAGAAATCCCATGTTGCTCTAAGCTGGGTTGACACTGTAGGCATTACAGTAAGGGGACAGGAATTTCTTTTTTGTATCCTAAAGTCTTTTTTTTTCCCAGCATTCCATGTAGCACAGGATTATTTTAGGACAAAAACATTCAGGAGAAGAATGAATAAATCCAGAAACTCCAGGACTCGAACAATGGCCAGGCTTTGTCCTCTTCTCCATTTCTGGGACAACAGGTCCGCTCTGGACCAAAGATATTGGCCCTCCATCCTGTCTCCAAGGCAACTATGGACACACAGCACTGTTTGAAGCTGTCCCCCTTTTAGGCAAGACTTTTAGCAGTGGAACCATGCGCAGGGGCGTGGCAGCTAAGAGGGATGGAGGAGGGTTCTGTGACATCTCACTGTACCCTCCCCAGGATAAAACCAGCTGGTAGAATCCAATACAACCAACACCCACTGTGTGACACCAGACAAGTTACCTAACTTCTCTGAGCATCCTCATCTCTAAAATCAAAAGAATAACAGTGCCTAGCTCATAGATTTGCTAAAAGGACCAAATGAACTATTCTTATGTTCATGGTAGCTTGACACACTATAATACTCACTAGATATTAATAATTATTTTTATAAGGTGTTGATGACAAAGGAAGTTTAAAAACAATACACATCTCAAATCCCCAAGGTGAGGCCGCTGAAATGCTCAGATCCAGGAGTGCTTGGGGCTTTCTTAGTTGATAAAACTTGGTACACCTTACTCCATGTCCTACAATTTCGAATAAAACTTTATTTTAAAACAAATATGGGGATGGCATGGAGTAGAAAAGCCGATTTGCATCTTCTTAAAGTGTGCTGGGGGCTGGGGATTTAGCTCAGCGGCAAAAAGCGCCTGCCTGGCAAGCGCAAGGTCGTGAGTTCGGTTCCCGGTACCGGAGAAAAACCAAAAAAAAAAAAAAAAAATTAAAGTGTGTGGGGAAGACTCGAGCAGCCCTGAAATAAAAGCCTCCACGGAGACGCCTGGCAGTTCCTGAATGTTTGTAGCTGCCACCTCCACCCTGCAGTGCCGCCCTGGTGGGTCAGTCAGCTCCCCGCAGCTGTACTTTTCTCTCTGTTACAGGACGGCGGCCCGGCATGCTTGGGATAGACACTGAAACTCCCAGAGAGGCGGAAGCCACTGTTCACCAACAAGAGCCCAAAACATGTAGGGTCAAAGTTTCGGAGTGATGGTGTAAGCCTATAACCCCAGCACCTGGGGGGCTGAGGCAGGAAGATCTCAAATTTGAGCCCAACCTGAGCAACTTAGTGACTTAGTGAGACCCTGTGTCTAAAAGGGCTGGAGATGTAGCTCAGTGCAAAGGCCCTGGCTTTAATCCCTGGTACTAAAAAAAGGAGCGGGGTTGGAGTGGAGCCTCCGGTTTTGGTGCTGGCCCCTGTCTGCCTTCCTTGCTTGCTTCCTCGGTGACCTTTGGCAATCACATAACCCCCAGAACCTCACTAAGACAGAAGCTGGACAGATAAGGGTCACTGGGGACAAAGTGCTGTCCTAGTCCCTATGTCCTCAACCTTTCATGACACCCTGATGTGTGTAGGACAGCAGTTCCCATCACGTCTGCTTTACGGATAAGGTAGAGAGGAGGTGACTTGTCCCTGATCCCCTGTCCTTCCCTTTGTGTGAGAGGAAGAGCGCCTTTGAAATGGGACAAAAACAGGACTCGAATTTCTCCATGCAGGCTCCAGGCTCCCGGCCACGATGTTTCCAGGTCTTTCGGATAAGACATCCCCTCTGCGTCCCCTTCCCGACAGAAAGCAGAGCTGCGGTTCTGCTAAGCTAGCAAAGAGCCACAGAGCAGGGCAGGAAGGACTCACCGAGCCAGGCCAAGGTAAACACTGACCTCTGGTGTGATAAATCCTCCTGCTAATCTAAACCAGGAATCTTCCCGCCCCATCTGCCCCAATCCCGACAGGACGTGGAGTCTACAATGTCCAGAATCCAGGAAGGCAATGGTAAGAGCAGAGCAGTCTCGGCGCTGGATTTCTCCTGCAGCCTGTGCACCCCGCTGCTGTGGTCCCGGAAAAACAGCAAAGGTCTGGGTGAACTCCAGGGAGCAGGCAGGTCCCACCGAAAGGACTTCGTGCTTTTGCTCCAAGTATTCTGTCCTTGGCCAGTGCAAAATTTGAAAAGAATGTGGAAATTATGGAAGACCCCTACCCTGGATTTTCTTCTCTACCAGGACACCCCAAAATTCCACCAAGTTCCTGTAAAAGTGAGCACATATTTGCTGGGCACCTCTACAGGTGTAAGCTGGGCTCTTTTGCCACACATTGACAATGAGCTGGATGATCAAAAGACAGCAAATTAGATGGCTACTGCAGTAGCCTCAATTTCAAGCAGCAGTTTGAAAGGGGAGAGAAAGAAGTGTTGAAAGTAAAACTGAAAAAAAAAAATGCTTTAAAAATATGGAAACAGCCAAAAAAAAAGGAGTCCATTCTCAAAGCCTGACTCACATGCAGTGATAAGTCTAACCACTTGCTAATGCAGCCACAGCTAAACAAGGGTGGCTTCTCAGGGAGCTTAACAAGATCACATCATGGGAAATAAAAGTACTAAAAATATAAAATAGGAGAAGCCTGCTGTGGCAGTGCACGTCTGTGATCCCAGCACTAGGGGAAGCTGAGGCAGGAGGATCACAATGTTGAATATAGCCTAGGTAACTTAGCAAGACCCTGTCTCAAAAAATAAAACTTAAAAATTAAAAAGAGGGGGAGGCTGGGGATAGAGCTCAGTGGTAGAGGACCCCTGGGTTTGATCTCCAGTGCCGAAACAAAAGAAGGAAGAAAGAAGAGAGAAAGAGAGAGAGCACCCCAGGTAGCGTTATGGTTTAGATATAAAATGTCCACCTAAAGTGTCATGTATTCAGAGATGAGGCCTTCAGGAAGGTGGCTGGATCATGAGGACTTTAACTTCATCAAGTGGATTAATCCACTTATGGCATTATAATTTGATGGCATTATTAGAGTATCTTTTTTGTTTTGTTTTGGTTTTTTCCAGTACCGGGAATGGAACTCACGACCTCGTGCTTGCCAGGCAGGTGCCGTGCCACTAAGCTAAATCCCCAGCCCCTGATGGCATTATTAGAAAGTGATAGAAGCTGTAGGTGGGGCCTAGTTGGAGGAAGTAGGTCATGAGGATGTGACCTTGAGGACTGTATCTGTTCCTTGGCTCCTTCCTCTCTGGCTCTTTCCAAGTCTGTCTGCATCCCAGCTGCTAAGCGGTGAACAGCTTCCTTCTGCCGTGCTCTTCACCATGGTGTTTCTGCCATGGAACCAGCCAACCATGCCCTGAAGCCTCTGAAACCGTGAGCCAAAATAAACTTCTCCTTTAACCTATTTATGTCAGGTATTTTGGTCATAGGGACAAAAAGCCTAGGAA